TGCATGAAGCACAAAAGGAAATGAACTTCGTTAGTGATCTCGAACGTTTTGCTCGGCAGTGACAGAATTGTTACGAGTGACGAGAAGGGATGCCCCTATTTCGACGTAAAGCAAGCAAGAGAACGGGCAGCTCTGAGAATACGCATAAGTTCAGGGTTGAGCAGACCTCCATCTGAAGGAGACGGTGGTTTGCGTTTCTCCTATTCACTATAACTCCTATAGAAGGCTCCTATTCACTGGAAAAATATAAAATATTGCTCGGATCTCTCTGAGCCACCCATTTTTTTTATCGAGGTCATATTTCCATCGATATCACTCCTTGTAACCTGTAACAATTCTATGTGAAAATATGTGGCTGCGCATTACTCAGTGCAGGGCGATAGGTTGACAGATAATGAGACACCGTGCTTGTTCATGCTCTTGACTTCATTTAAGAAATACCAAAGCTCCTGCATTTTTAGGATGAAGATACTTAATAGTGGCCATAAAACTGCTATTTATTTCTTTGGCCAATATACAAGTGGTTTGTCGGCCATTTTCCCTCAGGTGCGCCTTCAGTTTCTCCTCCTCGGGCGAGTAACAGCAGCAAAATTAACAGCGTGGACTCGGTAACTAATGGGCATCTCTGAGAATGTCGCCATGGTATTAAATTGAAAAAGGTTCCTGTTACTTTTAGCCACTGAGATTTAATGTAACTTTCAAAGAAATTAAAAACACTAGTCACGGTAGTGTCTTTCACTTTCTGTGGTTTTCGTACATCTTTCTGGCAGCTAACACATCACCGGAAAGGACAAGGTTTCGTCCTAGATGTCATTAGCCGACTTTGGTCTTTGGCTACGCTACATCACCGAAACAATTGATAATTTGATAAAGAGATATCCGAGATGCGCACCGAGTACGAAAGTTTCTCATTGGGTGTTCGTTAACGCTTGCTAAATCATCAGAGCAGTAGACGGTGTAGCGTTGTCATGTAGCAATACTGCTTTGCATTGGCTTTCAGCAGTTCCACATATGTAACTTATTTATTGAGCTTAGATAGCTTATAATGTAACACCTTTTTCTCATCCTACCATACGCAAAAGTGTAGTAGCCAGTAATCTTCATTGATTTCAATCTTACCTAGTGCATCTAAATGACCGAAAGTAATCATCTGGATGACCTCTGGCTGCTTTGAAAGTTTCTCACATTCGCACTTTGCTGGAAGAATGTTTATAGGTTGCAATCTTTCGCTTCTTATGAACGTTCTCCCGTCCAAGCTTCACTTTCGACTTCTTATTTTTGTCTCAGGAAGCATTTCTTCCAGCACGAAAATAATAAAGAAGACCGTTTCGTATATGCATCTTTTCGGGGCTGGTTCTTTATGCGGTACTGGAAAAGGTAATCCCAATAGCTTGTTTACATATGCGGGAATAGTCTACTGCATTAAGAAAAAAATAGCAATGAAGCGTATTTTTCAAGCTGAAGATAAATGTAAAAGAATAAAAAAAAAAACTTAGAAGTTACAAATGTTCCGGGCTACTTCGGTAGCCTTTGACATTCGGTGAATAGTGAAACATATATGATGTTAAGTACCCAAATTGTGTATTTTTTAAGGATTTAGTCAAAAGCCTACCCCGTATCAGTTTGATCAACGTTTCGGCCAAACTATATAAACCCACTATGTATATATAATATTAATCAAAATCGGTGTTTATTTCCTTTTATCTAATCATAGTAGTATAAACGTTTTATTAATGCACGTTTGACGATTGAAGAGGGCGCTAGTAGTCACCTAGACGAAATTATTCAACCCATTTTCTAGAGGCAAACAAAGGTGTCGTCTATTTTTTTTTCATGACCTATTTCATTATAGAATGGGAGAGTGAATCTTGCTAAGCTTGAATACGTCATTATACTGATGCCTAATGAATTTAATGATTCGTAAGTTTTACTTTAGCGATGATTTTTGACGAAGCTGCGTGACAACAATGGAGACATTATTTGAAGCTTGCTATTTAATATGCGTGTCTCCGATATATAGCCATTGCAGACATCGATATAAAGGTTCAGTGATGATGTCGCTACACCTAGCGATAGGTCCCACGCTGCTTTATGCAATACAACTTTTTAAGTTCGTTTACTTTTTATCACAAAAGACAATCTCTCTAGTGGATTTTTTGAATCACCTCTTTGACAAACGATTCTTCAAAAAGAGACAACAAAACTACCGAAAATAGACTACTTCTCTTCTACAATTTGTGGAATTTCCTACTGGGAAATCTATAAACGTATAGATAATATATGGAACTCAATCCTAGGCAACACGTTAAAAGAAAGGCGATATTCGAGCTTATCAAGTTACAAAGTTATTGCGCAAACGGGATGTCACCAAGTTCGTTATTTATGCTGCTACCCAGATTCAGCTTTTTCCCGACTCTTAATGGCTTTTTGGATTTACGGCAATCCTTACCTATACAAGGTTCATTCACATGGGCCCGTTGCGCGAAGTCGAATCTGTGAAGATACTAGAGCCCTATAAGGCTTGGCCAAGGTCCGTTGGAAGTTGAAATATAGGTGGACTCACCGTTAATGAAAATAAGTTTCCCGATGCGAAACAAGTTCACTTACAGCTGAAATAAAGCTGCTTTCGTTACAAGCCACTATTGTTGTTTGTTGGTCGTTGTTTCATGGTCATATTATATCACAAAGCTTTTGTCGCCTTTTGTTGTCGTATAATACTGTAGCACGATATGAGAAGACTTTAGCTTGTCACTCATTTTTCGACTCCGTGCACACTCAGGCTTTTGAGTTATCTTCAAAGCTCGGATAGATATGGCCAAAAATAATCTATACAACATATGAGAATTTTCCTTAGTCAAGATGACAGTTTTTTTGTGAGCGTCAAGATGTGCCTTTGCCATTAGTAGTACCTATCTTCTAGAAATTAAAAGCTCTTTTCCTTTGTTCGCAAAACAGTAAGACCCTGAGGTGGTTTTCAATTTAATGTTTGTTTCCTGTATGCATCTCCCGTAATCGTTAGCTTTATCAAAGGAAAATCGCAGATGTCTTGCCTTCTATAATAATATTAACGGTTTTTCAATCATAGTAGCACGGCCGACAACTCGTAATCAGCTAACACTCCAATATATGGTTTACAATTCATTTTAAAATTAGGACATTACTTGCTCTTCGTCTGGCCGTCTCCAGATTACCTTGTTGACAACGTCGGGGTATTAAAAATGTGCTACGTGTTTCCAAGCCTTCGTTCGCTTGTAGGACTACATGTACCCTTTCAGAAATGTATCTAGAAGCCTGAATGTATTATTTCATTGATCACCAGTTTCACTGCTTATGGTGATTATAAGTGAGCAGCTTTAGCATTTTTTTCCCAAATATATGTGTTCTATGTAATACATTCGGGCTACCTTCAGGTTAAACGGTGCTGATCCGGTGTACAATAAGAAGCACTGAAAAACGTATAGCAATATAGCTAGGGCCGCCCATTATAACTTCTCGGCGATGTGGAGGCTGAGGAATTGTGTCCATTCAAAATGGACTCCATTACGGGTGCCGGACCTTCAGTGGGAAGGTCGGTCATAGATAAGTATTTTCAACAATTTGCTCAGGAACGGCACTCCAGTTGACAACAATTCTAATAGTTATTAAAGAAAAATCGCAAATATATGGTTAAATAGCGGGAAATAAATGGAGGAAACGGTACTGATGTGATAAACATTTATAGTACAAGACAAAATATGGACACCAAGTACAAAAGATCCGTGGGAAAAGGTAATGTCCCTACGATTTCTCTTTAGAATTAAACAAGATTTGTCCTGGGGGCAAAATAAAGAATAGCTTTCCTCGACCATAGTAGAAATGAAAGGATAATAATTTTCAATGTCCACGTAAATTTTTATGTAGACAATGCTGGTTACAACTTTTTTCCAATCACTTCTTAGTTGTCTAGTCAGATACTCGGAGAGCAGGACTGCAGTGCTGGCCCGCCGTCAACTGCTGCGTGTACGTCTGTACTGCCAAAAAAAGCCTAAAGATCAAATTTAGTAATATGGCAGTCTATCACGCTAAACATATATTTTGCAGGAAGAAGCGTCTGAATGTGCATCTCAAAACAGTTAGTTGTTTTGGAAAATGTGTGCAATCAACTGAACGTTTCGTTGCTTTTTACATGAATCAGTACTTTATGGACACCATTCATTATTATGGCTAGTGTTCTTTATCTCGTGGTCTTCTAGAACGTTATCAAATAGATATAGAACATAGAATCCTGATTTTATAACAAGCTTAAAACTGGCATGATAAGAAATTAGATCACTTGTCGTTTTTTATATATTATATAAAGAACCTCATATATTATATATAATTATTATATGATGTCATAGTATGCATGAGTTCTACCTGTCAGATCTTTAATTAACGATCATGTTCTGTACTGTCCTCGGGTCAAATGATTATAATCTCTACCACTTTCTTAATGGAATTAACTTGATAGAATATACATGACGTGCCTGAACAAAACAACACTGATGTCCTGTGTAAATTTACATCGCATGAATCAGATGACGGAGTTCAAGAATGGTGTTTATACCCACGTTAAATATTCTTGATGCAGTATTTACTACGATGAAATTTTAAAAGGTAATTTGAACAAAGCGTAATGTCCTTAGCCTGCCGTAAACACCGTAATCCTATACGTAACGTTTATGCAGTGCTAGAGCAAGTATTCCTGGTCCTCAAGGAGATTTGGGCTTTACTTAAGAGAGACTATGAATATAGTCTAGAATAGTTCGTTCCGCTAATACACGATCAGGCGTCTATCAACCAGTGTTAATAAGAAATATTTCTAATCAGATTAAACAGACGCCATTTATACTACACAATTGTCTCACACGCTTGTTTAGCGTAGAATTCTGCTGTTTTGTTTTAACATGATTGCTCCTTATCCATGTTTGTGAAAAGTTACAGTACAGAGAGAAAAAAAAAAGTATTTATTTACACACAAATATCATTCGAACAAACGACATTATTTATTTGTCTATTTCCGCCTGAAATGGTGTTAATGAGTGCTGTCAAAGTGCTAGTGGTCTGTCATATTGTTGTATGAAAGTATTATTTACATTTATATAAATGTATATACAAAATTCAACAACCCACAAGCTGCTTCGCCCGCTCATACGGTTCACATCACTTTGCAATCGGTTTTCACATCGCTCGCGGAATCCTGTAAAAATAAATAACGTCGATGTAAAAAAAACGTCGATGAGAAAATCCTTTTCTTAAAAAAAATCGCTCGTCTACATAAGTATCCAAAGACTAGAATAAAACTGAATGCTGTTATTTAGTAGTAAGTAGAAAAAAATAAGGAGCGATTAGAACTCCAGTATGGACCTAATCAAGTTATATGGTGCTATTTCTTAAGGACATTGCTTAAGTAGGACAACAAATATTAGCTTGAACCTATTTCTTTTAAATGTATGTCTTTCTCCTAAACCGAAGCATGCATATAATTACTCAAAAAACACCTAAAGAGTTTCTAATTCCTGGCGGACTTCGAATCTGAGTTTTACGATGCGACATACATTTGATGATCCAATCGAAGGCCCCACAGTTCTCTTTGTCCGTGGAGTTCTGTTTGGCGTTAGCGCTCGACGAAGCAACACCTGTCTTCCTTTAAGCGCTGCTGGTGTGGCATCTTTTGATTTTAATACGGTTTGATTCAGTCCTGACGTGGAAGGTGCCTCGAGAGACATCTTATGCCGTTTAGCCCCAAGCGGTGTATTAGCTAGTGTTTCGCTGTCAATGTCCAGACTGTCAATGAGTTGTCTGTAGGTCTGTAATTCCTGTCGGATATCTTCGTAACTTTGCCTTTGAGCGATCAGCCGTTTATTGAGCTTCTCACTGCGGTGTCGTTCGGTCGCAAGTTCTTTATCTTTGATGGCTTGCAGGGTTTCAGAGTCTGCTCTCACTTTATCCAGAAGTTCTTGCCGTTGTGCTAAGAGCACCTCGGCGTCCTCTGCTCGTTTGAGTGTCTCTTGCTGGCGCGTCTCAAGCCGAGCGTAGTCCTCTGCACTTACATAGGTAAGAAGAGTATCTTGGATCTTTTTGTTGTGCTCCTTCTTTAAGCGTTCGATGTCGGCCTCATGTTTCTGACGGACCTCCTCAAGCTTTTCAAGAGCAAGCTTTTCCAGTCGATTTCGTTCGGCAGTTATTTTCTTGTCGACGTCTTCTGTAGAGAATTGCAGCTTCTTGTCTGCCTCGATCATTTTGGATTCCATCATTGTCCTTTCAAAGGTCACGATCTTAACGCGTTCGTGGAGCGTAGCATTGTCTACCTTGAGACGGGTGAGTTGACTAGATAGGTCATTACGATCCTTTTCTTCTTTCTCAAGCTGGTCACGAAGCTTACTATTTTCCTCGTGAAGCCTTCTTACCGTGTTGGTTTCAAAAACTAGCATCCTTTCTAGATTAATTTCGCGCTGGCGTTTGTTGTTTAGCTCGCCTTGTAGAATATCATTATCACGCTTTGAATGCTGTATATCTTTTTGTAGTTGACTAATGGTCTCTTTTGCTTCTACGGCTTGTCTCACGTGCTGCTCAACTTCACTGCGCAACATGGCTATCTGCAAATACATTTCGCAGCAAATGTAATGAAGTTACTCAAGTTTTACGCCATGAGCAGTTCCAAAACCGTTTTACAGCAGACATGAAATATACTTCAATCTGTGGTGTAATATGAAGTGGTACATAATTCAAGGACATATATTTCAACTCCGCGCACCCTAGACTCTATTTCGGAGGATGCGTCGTAAAATGCCTATTTCGATATATATTCATACGAAAGCAGCTTGTGATCCTACACGCTCCTGAACGCCCGTCGGACATCGAATATGAGGTGAAACAATTTTTTAAGCTCTACTACGACAACATTCATACGCTATCGTTTGGACCATAGGGTCTTCATTAATTCAGCTAACGGAACACGAACCTGTTGGCTAGTTTTTTCTCGAAATTGTTTCAAATGTTCTTCAAGGCTTTTACGGACCTTCTCAGACTCCTCGAGCTTTAACTCGTTGCCTTTTACCTTTTGCATATATGCACCGAGCCTGAAATGGTTTTGTCAAATAAGATGATTCAGTTTTTCGTATTCGATACGCTCACACACATCAACGTACGTCTGTTAGTCTGCCAATGCAATTTGAGGCGTTATGTTATTATTATTGCATCACGAGGGTAACAGTACATCGTCTAGGCTGTTGTTCGTAGAAACAATTTATTGTTTAGATCGGCATCTTTAGGACTAATAATAGCTAAATTATCTCACTGCTTATTCAAGCTCTTGTTCAGCTGGTCCAAGGTGTCGGGGTCGGACCTACTAGGCTTTTGAGAAGTGGCCGTCACGTCAAGGCCTTATGAAGAGTAGTCTTATAAAGAATATTGTAACATTTCAGTTGATTTCGCACTATGCATCATGTTATCCGGTGAATAAAGAAATTAACATTGTAGCTAATTTCGAAAGACGTTTTGTTGGTATGCTTGTTTGACGACTAATTTTCTAAATAATTCATAGCACATATCGCTCGTGTAACTATAGTTGTCCTTACTTGTGATTGAGCGAGCAAAACTCATTTTTAAATCCTTCCCGATCCTTGACAATGCTCGAATTTGGAGTAGTTTGATCAAGCTTAGCGACGCTGTCTTGCTCGAATAAAGTTGATACGGTTACGGGACGTGATGAGGCTCTAGTGCTAACTGATGACAGATCCTCGCTGTGGCCGGATTCTGCCACGCTGGCTAATTGTGTCGGCTTTGGAGTACTCGTCATTTGAATTTCACTGGTAGGATCGTCTTCGACTCGTAGCGACTTCTTGCAGTCCATCTTATTGATGGGAGTACGCACTCTTATAACACTAGAACTGCAACAAATTAATAATATTACACGCATGAAGGCCGCTAGTGTACCATATACTAGAACAGACAATTGCCTATTCATAGAACTAAATGTTATCTATGACCTTGAATAATGGCTAGCACCTTCGTTTCGTTCGATCTTGCCGGTGCGTTACGTACTACGCCAGAACGTGCCACTAGTAGGTCAAATACCACATTGTAGTATTAAGTAATAAATAAACTAGCATTTTCATTATTGGAACAGAAAGCTATTTAGCGTTGAATCCGCGCACTAAACGTTCTAGGAAAACAAGGACGTGATTCGTTGGGCGGGGGCTTCTGGTCCGCATGGCCTCAGGTGGACCTCGTCAGACTCATCTATCGTTTCTTCGTTGTCTTGCGTGAGATCTAAACAGCCATGCAAGAATATCGGGAAACACCGAACAGTTACCAGAACAGCTTTGGGATAGCACTGTAAGCAACACAATCTGCGGAGTAATCTGGTGATCCTGTCAATCTTTATAATGAAGCGTGTGCATTGTTTTGGTAGCAGGAGCAAAATATCGCCGGTCCCTAACTTATTGACATTCAACTGAGTTCCGATCCCTAGGAAGAGTTTCATGATGGTCCAAAGTGATTACGTCAGTCGGTTCTACATGTTGATAACGCCGCATATAACGTGCAATTACTCTATAGCAGGCGTTGGCATTATTCACAGTTTTGCAATGCACTAGCCATAAGGGGACGTGTCGACGGTGCACACGACACAACGAAGAATACAGCGTCCATCAAATGCACGATGTATGTACATCAGTTCGTAGACAACCGCTATATCAGCCCTAGCTAACGATTAATCCTCACTGACCTTTTCAGTTATCAGGCACTATACTCAGCGTACGGAGCCACCAAGGTCGAACGAGGTCCAATCCGTTAAGGACGTGTTTTTCTCAAGGCTGGATATTATGTACGGAATGAAAATAGATCAGAACGTCTCTTGCCGGAAACGGATAAAAGTTCGGAATTTTTATCATAATTAATTTTTAAACAATTAAAGAATAATTAATTTATTGTTCCATTGTATCGCCTAAGCTTGTAACATATTGTACAGTTCTCTAGGAGGTTTACAATAACGTAATGAATCATCATGGACGTTATCCTTGACTTAGTATCTCTGTTGTCGTGACGATCGGTACCATACAGTATGTACATGTTCTACTATTCTTCTTGAAGGAAACGCCGATGTGTCACTCGAAATATCGGCACGTCATTTAATAATGTATCCATATTTTCTAACACTACTTTCTGACCCCATGTCGACTTGATATCTTTTTTCTGAAAGAGAACGTTAGATTAATATCATCCAGCAGATCTAGTACTTCCGTTGATTACAAACAAATATCTTGTACTCTTCTTTTGAGATAGCACTCGGTCAAAAAGTACAGGATCCTTGCCTCGAAATTAGAGGCGAAGAACGTAATTAAATAACGTAATAATAAATTCAATTTAGTAATAATAAACCCAATAAGAGAAATATCAATCTGCAAAAGTGTTCGCATACGGATATAGAAGATGTTGACGACGTGAAGAGATCTGATAAGCGCTTTCGATGAGATTTTTATTTTTAACGATTAGAGAAGAATTAACGATTTTTTCGACGAAACATCGTTACTCAGCTGGAGGAGAAGATTCGAATGGAAGTTGATCATATATTTGAGCTTATTGGACGAATATTTAATGTGTTCGACAGTGTTTAATGTTCCCGTTGTCAACCAAAACGACGCGTGAGATGTTTCCGAGTAAAGCGCTTCCAATTTGTTACTATTGCTTTCTTCTGTATTTCTAGCAGCTAAAAGACATTGAAGGCATGTCTGAGACAAACAATATTCCTTCAATAGAGTCGTCTCTCTGTCCTATATATATACTGTGAGGTTGGATAATTTAAATACAGCTCAGCATACACGGCCTATTCGCCGTACCCATGCGGTCATCAGTGGTCCAACTGTCAGGCTTGGCAAATCATATCGTTTCATTGGTCTATTGCAGAAGTTTCAGATGAGTCCAGCAGGACCCACCTAAACAAGGACCAGCTTTCTTACAAAGGCAGGACCCTGACGTAAAAAGGATAGCGGGTATTTCTTACGTTCGCTGTGCGTTTAGTTAATGTAAGTTTTAGGTGGCTTATGTTATGCCGTATAGCTATGTAATCAAAAGTGATACTTGCTCATTAATTAATTAAGAGGCCTATATTTAGTGAGAAACTACAATCTTTTTGTGCACGCAGCTTTCGTTTACATAAAGTAAAACAATATTATATATTCCATTGAACTGCAACATAATATCTACTAACTGGCCTGCGGCTACGCGTGCCCACCGACTTTGACTACACCATAACTTCAGATCTATTTGGCTTTATGTTGATCTATTTATCATATAATCTTATACGCGGCATTGGCGATTCATTTTAAGTTGGTACTGCAATCTTCGCCCCTTGGAAAGAGTTTGGCAGAATTATTCTTATTACGCCATATGTAAATCTTTCCATATAAAAATTCCCATCAAGTACTCAGCTCTCATTGAACTAAGCGAAATACTAATGCGAGCTGTGCTTCCTTTAAGTTTTCATCAATCTAAAGTAGCTGACTTTCAGATTGTTATCATTTTACTAAAGATGTCCAATGAGCAGTATATTAAACATGTTATTATAGACTGGTTACCCTTATGCGCCCATCTCGTCATGATAACTAGTTTCCTGTTTTGATGTGAAGGGTACACGGTGCGCAATTTAAACATGTGAAAATGATTCTGCCATACTTCAAACACTGCTTTCCTTCACGGCTTCATCGTCGTTTCATTACCCCTACCTAGCACTTAAAGGAAATAATCGAAGGAAGATTGATCTGTCGAAGAAACATCACCTGGTGCAGGCAAAAAAAAACTCAGTGTACATATACTGCCAGTAACTTCAATCATGGGTACTTGTTTATACATGACTCGACATCGTATGATGACAGACCGTCACTATTGGGCAAGAACGTTCCTAAGCCCTAGCAACAACTTAAGAATCATAAACACATACGGTTCCCATTAGCATAATATACATATGCCTTAGTGCATAAAAATCTCTTTTTAAATCCGTAAAAAACTAAACGTTCAGTATATTTTCTTGTTACGGTCAGAATCGATGCAAAGAATAGGTAAATATATCTGAGTAAATATGCATCAAGCACTGCCGGATTCTTTAACCATCACAAACGTTTTTAGCTTAAACGTATATTGAATACTTAATTATGTATTGCTATACATCCATCGGTAACTCTACCTGTCATCTCTTCCTTTAAGGTTCTAAGTAAGAAGGAGCAACATCTTCAGGTCGTGCGCTGATCGAAAATAACTTGCGCCTTGCTGTTTACGATTTATGACGCTAGCGTCAAACTACTTACTAAGGCTAACCGTATGGGGAGCATACTGTCGAAATGTTTTCTCCAATCTTCTGTTCTTTCTGCGATAATAATTTATGACGGTCATTGCGGTCCACGGGAAATTTGGGAGAAGACTCCATGTGATTTTGTTGTATTGAAGCCAAATCGGTAAAAAAAAAAGAACTGACATTTTGTATCGCTTACGAGCCAGTAATAAAGGCATCCACTACAGGACTTAATCGGCTAAATCAGTTCTCATACTAAATCTTCATCTAGACAGGCAGTTTTTTCGTATGCCAATTATAATAGCAATTTGATTACTAAGGAGAAAATTCAAAGAGAAGTTAGAGTATGTAAATATAGCCGGTAAGTCTACGAAAAACACTTGCAAAAAACGTGGCTTATTCGGTCCGCTTTGGTTATCGTTTAAGACGATGGTAGGATAGCTGGTGATATCGATCAGTCAAGAAACAGCCTGTATTTGTGTGAGAAAGCGACCTTTTTAAAGGCATTAGATGCATTAACGTCTGTTAGGGATCTGGATGCTTTTGGAAAAAACGTAACGTTCCAGCCAAACTTCTGAGTTAATAGAGAATGAGTAAGGTAGAGCAATTAAATCGGACTGATTTGGTATAGTCTAAGAGAACTAAGGACTTATACAGGCTTTCAATAAGCCCGAGCCTCAGGCTTGTTCATTTTAGCGACAACAACCCATTCCTGGTCCCTAACTACGTCAAGAGAAATCCTTAACGCATCGAGGTACCTCTTGTAGTGGTGCAGCGGCGACCTATCTTCCTACTGAACATGTGAGTCCCAGGATTATTATAATTAACAAGGATGGTCTAATGAGGGGAATTTCCATTGGCATATATGATAGAAGGCTGAAACTAAAGGACATATTTTAGATAACTAAGTTCTATCAAGAAAGAGACTTTGGCAGACGTGTGTGCAGTCGTGTTATAGGCTTCAGCGATGGTAAGGGATGCGACAACGACAAGAAGACATGTCTCTAAGCATGTTCATCCTTCAACGGATCTTTCGATTTCGAGACTTAGAATTCTAAAGAGCACTCATCAAATTTGGCTGACCCGGCGACTGTCTATACTAAAGTATTTTGTTTTTGTTTCGTGAATTCGTCGACGTACAACCCTATTAATGCAACAAAACCGTACCTATAGATTTTAAAAGGCGTCCCTCCAGCAGACTTCGTCTTGCCTATATTAGCTAACTAATGAGACTTTTAGAATTATCTTGTTGATGAGCTATATATTATTTCAGGTAGAATACGTTGCGTCGGGTTAATGTTGGTATCATTTGAAAGCTGAAATTTGCCTGTGGTAGTAGTGTTAGGTCCTTGAGGTGGAGTGCCTTAGAGGCGAGTAAGGTTCCCTAACAAACGATAAAGGCACAAATGTTAAGAAGCGTTGTCCGAGACGTTTAACGGTGGCCCGAAGATGCTCCTGTTCTGGATATCTCCACGTGCGCTTTAGCTGTCGACCACTTCCGCAAGTAGTTGATTAAATTATTCAAAGTAGGACCGACATGTAACTAAACATCATATCGCCAAGAGCAAAGAAACTTACTCGGGTGTATTTTCAGTTCTAGAA